AAGGTCAGAAACAGTGTATCAGAAGCGGATGATGAGAAACAGTGGTGCAGAAATGGATGGACAGAAACTTAATGGCAGAAAGAGAGGATGAGAATTAGAGGACGAGAAACAGAGGATGAGAAACAGAGGACATGAAACAGAAGGGCTAAAACAGAGTGGCAGCAACAGAGGGGCAGAAACAGAGGGGCAGAAACAAGAGGCAAAAACAGAGTGGCAGAAACAGACGGATAGAAACAGATGGACAGAAACAGAGGGGCAGAATCGGAGGATGAGAATCAGAGAATGGGAATCAGAGGATGTGAAACAAAGTATGAGAAACAGAGTATGAGAAAGAGAGGATCTGAAAGAGATGATGCGAAAGAGAGGGGAAGAAACAGAGTCCTAGAAACAGAGGTGCAGAAAGAGTGGACGTGAAACAGAGGAGAAACAGAAAATGAGAAACACCGGGGAGAAACAAAGGGGCAGAAACAGAATGAGAAACAGAGGATGAGAAAGAGAGGATGAGAAACAGAGGATGAGAAAAAGAGGATGAGAAACAGAGGATGAGAAAGAGAGGATCTGAAAGAGATGATGCGAAAGAGAGGGGCAGAAACAGAGAGGAAGAAACAGAGAATGTGTAACAGGCACAGAAACAGGATGAAAAACAGAGTGGCAGAAACTGAGGATGAGAAACAAAGGGTCAGAAACAGGATGAGGAATATAGGTGCAGAAAAATTGGGGCAGAAACAGAGTGGCAGAAACAGAGGATGAGAAACAGAAGGGCAGAATCAGTGAATGAGAATCAGTGGAGGAGAAACAGAGCATGAGAAAAAGAAAGGCAGAAACAGAGGGGCAGAAAGAGATGATGAGATACAGAAGGACAGAATCAGAGCATGAGAAACAGAGAATGAAAAACTGAGGGGCAGAAACAGAGGCACAGAAACAGAGGGGCAGAATCAGAGGATGTGAAACAGGATGAGAAACAATGGATGAGAAACAGAGGATGGGAAACAGAGGAGCAGAAAGAGAGCAGAAACAGTGGGGCAGAACCAGAGTATGAGGAATGGAGGGGCAGAAACAGAGGGGCAGAAACAGAGGATGAGGAACAGATGGGCAGAAACTGATGTTGAGGCACAGAGGGGCACAAACAGAGGATGAGAAACAAAGGATGAGAAATGTAGGTGCAGAAGAACTGAGGAAGAAACAGAATGGCAGAAACAGAGGATGAGAAACAGAGGGGCAGAAACAGAGGAGCAGAAAGTGAGGATGAGAAACAGAAGATGAGAAGAAGAGGTTTGAAAAGCAGAGTATCAGAAACACAGGGGCAGAAAAAGATATGAGAAATCGAGTATCAGACAAAGATGATGAGCAACAGAGGGGCAGAAACAGAGGATGAAGAACAGAGGGTGAGAAATGGACGGTGAGAAACAGAGGGTGAGAAACAGAGGGGGAGAAACAGAAAGGGAGTAACAGAGAGTGAGAAAGAGAGGGTGCGATACAGAGGGTGAGAAAGAGAGGTGCAGAAATGAAGGGCGAAAAACTGAGTAGCAGAAAATGAAGGCATGAAACAGAGGGGCAGAAACAGAGTGAGAAAGTGAGGGTGCGAAACACAAGGGTAGAAACCCAGGGGCAGAAACAGATGGTGAGAAACAGAGGGGCAGAAACAGAGGAGTAGAAACAGGGGGCAGAAACAGAGGGTGCGAGGCAGAGGGGCAGAAACAGATGGTTAGAAACAGAGGACAGAAACAGAGGGGGAGAAACAGAGGGTGCGAAAGAGAGTGACAGCAACAGAGGGTGAGAAACCGAGGTGTAGAAACAGAGGGGCAGAAACAGATGGTTAGAAACAGAGGACAAAAACAGAGGATGCGAAAGAGAGTGACAGAAACAGAGGGCGAGAAACCAAGGTGCAGAAACAGGGTTGAGAAACAGAAGGTGAAAACAGAGGGTGCGAACCAGAGCGGCAGAAGCTGATGGCGAGAAACAGAGGAGCAGAACAGATGGTACGAAACAGAGGGGCAGAAAGAGAGTGAGAGAAACAGAGGCTGAGACAGAGGGGCAGAAACAGACGGTTCAAAACAGAGGACAGAAACAGAGGGGGAGAAACAGAGGCTGAGAAACAGAGTGTATGAAACAGAAGGTGAGAAACAGAGGTTGAGAAACAGAGGGTGTGAAAGAGAGTGGCAGAAACAGAGGGTGAGAATCCGAGGTGCAGAAACAGAGTGCGAGAAACAGAGGAGCTGAAACAAAGGGCCTGAAACTGAGTGTGAGAAATAGTGTGTGAGAAACAGAGGCTCTGAAACAGAAGGCGAGAAACAGCGGGGCTGAAACAAAGGGGCTGAAACAGAGTGTGTAAAACAGAGTTCGAGAAACAGAGGGGCTGAAACAGAATGCAAGAAACAGAGGATCTGAAACTGAGTGTGAGAAATGGAGCGCGAGAAACAGAGGGGCTGAAACAAAGGGGCTGCAACAGAGTGTGAGAAACAGATTGCGAGAAACAGAGGGGCTGAAACAGAGTGCGAGAAACAGAGTGCGAGAAATAAAGTGTCTGAAACAGAGTGCAAGAAACAATGGAGCTGAAACAGAGGGTCTGAAACAGAGGGGCCAAAACAGAATGTGAGAAAAAGAGGGGCTGAAACAGATTGGGAGAAAAACAGGCTGAGACATAAGGTACGAAACAAAGGGTGAGAAGCAGAGGTTGAGAAACAGAGGGGGCGAAAGAGAGTGGCAAAAACAGAGGGCGAGAATCCGAGGTGCAGAAGCACAGTGCGAGAAACAGAGGGGCTGAAACAATGGGCGAGAAACAGCAGAGCTGAAACAAAGGGGCTGAAACAGAGTGCATAAAACAGAGTGCGAGAAACAGACTGGCTGAAACAGAGGATCTGAAACAGAACGGCTGAAACAGAGTTCAAGAAACACAGGGACTGAAAGAGAGGGAATGAAACAGATGTGAGAAACAGAGGGTCTGAAACAGTGCAAGAACTAGAGGGGTTGAAACAGAGGGGCTGAAACAGAGGGGCTGAAACAGAGTGTGAAAAACAGAGGGGCTGAAACAGAGTGCGAGAAACAGAGTGCGAGAAATAAAGTGGCTGAAACAGAGTGCAAGAAACAGTGGGGCTGAAACAGAGGGTCTGAAACAGAGAGGCCGAAACGGAGTGCAAGAAACACAGGGGCTGAAACGAAGGGGCTGAAACAGAGTGCATAAAATGGAGTGCGAGAAAAAGAGGGGCTGAAACAGAGGGGCTGAAGCAGAATGCGAGAAACAGAGGGTCTGAAACAGAGTGCAAGAACTAGAAGGGTTGAAACAGAAGGGCTAGAACAGTGGGCTGAAACAGAGTGTGAGAAACAGAGGGAATGAAACAGATGGCGAGAAACAGAGGGGGAGAAACAGAGAGTGAGAAGGAGAGGGTGTGAACAGAGGGTGAGAAACAGAGGGGCAGAAACAAAGAGTGAGAATCTCAGTGGCAGAAAAAAAGGGTGTGAAACAGAATGGCAGAAACAGAGGGTGAGAAACAGAGTGGCTGAAACAGAGGGTGCGAAACAGAGGGCTAGGAACAGTGGGGCAGAAAAAAAGGGTGAGAAGCAGAGGGGAAGAAACAGATGGTGTGAAACACAGGACAGAAACAGATGGGGAGAAACAGAGGCTGAGAAACAGAGTGTATGAAACAGAAGGTGA